GAATACGAATGGGTAGTATTGCTTGAAGCAGATAAGAGCTGATCAGTTACCTTCATTTTTGCTTTCGTTCCTCCATTTTTTATTTACAATACAAAAATTGAAAAAGCGGTATTCCATCGGCAGATTAATGCAATATCTTGTACTGTACCAGAGTAGTGATTTTTGGATACAGGCAGCTAGAACAGTAAAATTTCACTTCACAGGATATATATGTATATTGTTAGCCATTATTAGTTATTGAGCAGTGCCGGATGCATATCGCATATTTTATTCACTAGTGCAACCTAGTGCTCATTAAAAACGATGTTTAAGGAGATTGAACTGCTGTGCTCTGTATAAATATCAAAGAATGTTTGTGCACCGCGGTACGTCAGGTGACGTATGACTCCTGCGACACTAGATTTCATGGAGTTATTCGCTACTTCCTTTCTCCTAGTTGCCTAGGGTTTCATTAAGAAGTTAAAAAGTAAAATGTTTAGCAGTTGTTATGTCAGTATTCATTGCACTTTTATGATGTGGCATTCTGGCTCCCTTCCTTCTGTGAAATCAGTTTTTGAAGGGTTCATATTCTCATTTCCATTCCATTAGGCTAGAGTGCCTTTTATGAAACAGAGTCGATAGCAGTTATATAGCAAGCGTAGCGTGCAATCTCTTTATATTTTTTTCACGGAGCGTCATTTATTTGCCTTTATCAGAGCTGTTATTACCAATTTGTTTGCTTTGTATATGAATAAACCGTGTTTTTGTGCAATTTTCGGTATGATCATCGAAGTAGAAGCGAAAAGCTCATTCTCTTAGAAATTTCGCTGTAATGCGGAAATATGAATGCTCTCATCTCTAGTGATAACACTTGGTCTCGTCTGGGATAAGAGCGTTTCAACAACTAAGTGTTCTTTGTAGTTGCTGACCGTTGTTACGATCGTTGGTCGTTAAAATCGACAATATGCCTATTTAAAGAACTATTATTCATTTGTATGAATATAAGTACAAAATCGAAAATGTTTATGGGGGTTCACTTTTCCAAATTTATCTGATCACATCATTTTATTGTTCCTAGAATTTTTTGGGATATTTTAAGTAGGTTATGGCTATATGGCCATGGTTATGGTCGAGGTCACTGTCACTGCAATACCTATTACAAAACCGTATGGGTAGAGTCAGCAGTGAAGTGTTTGAAGAATCAGCAAAAAATATTACAGATAGAAACCGAAGTTAACATGTGTAAATACAAATATGATCGGTTTATGTATTAAATGTCTTTTTTCGCTTTTAGTCGGAAAAAACTATGTCTGCACGTATATTGCGCAGTATTTATACAGGAAGGGCATGCAAAGTCAGTTCGTACATCTGTTCATCGGCAGTTTGCATTTCCCACACGATCAAGAAGTCCAAACCTATCAGGTAAATCGATTTTACAGAATAATATTTTATAATGTTCTTGCTGTTGAATCCTGTTGTGACTGGCCACTTGCGTCGACTTATTGCCTCCGGTCATGATTTTTAATAATCATGATTACTAGTGGTTTAGCTGGACGGTTATTAATTTGGTATGATGCGGTAGTATATCTTAGATATTGACATTTGAGCACTCTGGAATAACGGCAACTCAATGATATCCCTCTCCTCGCATTAACTACATTTTTTCCCCTGTCCTGGGGTTGACTGTGGATGAGAACGTTGATTGAGAACAACAGATGAGTGCAATAGGTGGCAAAGTGCGATGATCGGCTTGTGTTGTGCAGATTGAGGAGATTGACCATTGGCTCAGAAGTGCTGAAGGATATCACCAAATATTGCATTCCGTGGCTCCTACTGTACGATGCATTGATCTATTTTAACAGTCTCTAGATGAGACAACTGATACTCGCCTCGCATCATCCGGGCCTTTTGAAACTACGTGGACCACTCTGTGACTCCGGCGCTAAAGAGTTCTTATGAATCGCAACTACTTGATCGCAGATACTTGATAAATACAACAGTTGCTCTTCATAGTTCTATTCTAACCGACCCATGTCAGACGCTCTGCCAAGGCTTCCAACGGTGCTGTCGCAGCGATCAGGCGCAAAATTCTTGTACGTTTTTTGTAGGGTCTGAGGATTACCGAAGGTTAGTTGTTCTTTTCCGACTCCGATGTCTAACTACTACGAAGAAAGAAGGACAGTTATTTTGAACGGGATTCTTGTCAGCCTGATAGTGATCCAGTTTTTGAAGCATATTTTGATGTTTGATATTTGTTTATTTATTATATCTAGGTTTTGGTAACTTATCGAGTGCCTTGGTATTAAGTAAGTTTGACTGGCTGAATATTCAGTAAAGATGGAGCATGAAGGGTATGCGGTAGATTATTGCAATTTCGATGTTTTCAGTTGGTTAGCAGAAAAATTCAGATGCGACCAACTGGTATTGCATATTCATTTTTTCACAGAATGCTGTCTTAGCAGTATATATACTCAGAGGTCTCCGATTCTTCGGCGTTGTAGTCAGAATCAAATCCCTGTTAGGTTTCTGTCACGATTCTTTGTCATTTCTACTGTGAGGCGACTTTTGTCAATGCCTCAACGACAGTAAAATAACGTGACCCAGATACGTTTTGTTTAATTTTCGTATACTTGTTGTTTTGCAAGCTTTGTATACCGTATCATCCTTTCAAGATCATCTGAATCTCGTTCTATTTTTGTTGTAGGACCAGCTTCGTCACTGGGTCAAAGGAAATGTGACCCGTTGCGAACGTTCCCTGTTTATTTTTGATGAGGTTGACAAAATGGCTCCCGGTACCCTGAACGCCATTAAGCCGTTCTTGGACTTTCACGACAAAATAGACGGGGCTGACTTCCGCAAGAGTATATTTATTTTCCTAAGGTGTTTGCTTTATACTCTTATGATTTAACGGACCTAAATTTCTTGCTTACGATTTAGCAACAGTGGCGGAAATGATATTACGAAGCGAACATTACAGCACTGGAAGCAGGGAGAGTCACGAGAGTCGATTACCCGGGCTGAAATGGAGAACATCATCACTCTGGCAGCGTTCAATGAGGAAGGTATGTTTTGATGCATTGACGCTTGTTGTATATCGTTTAATAAATGTATGAACGCTGTCTTAACCTAGGCGGTTTCAAGTACAGTAGGTTGATCGCTTCGCACCTCGTCGATCACTTTGTACCGTTCCTGCCGTTGGAGAAAGAGCACATCCGCAACTGTATCGTTGACTACTTAGTGCTGCGTGGTTTCGATGCCCAATTGGTTTCCGAAGAGAAACTGTTCGAAATCGCTGACTCGTTGCAGTACTATCCGAAAGAGTTCGGAGTATACTCTACCTCTGGTTGTAAGCGCGTTGTTCAAAAGGTGGATCTGTTTCTCGGTGAAGATCAAGAGCTTCAGAAGCAGCTGCTGATCAATGACAACATTTAGCGTCTACCAGTAACGATGCCCTATAACCTTAGAACAATCGTTTTCTTCGTATCGTCCTGAGTCTTTTCTTAAG